GGCATGCCACTGAAAGGCCAGCTAAACCAAAGAGCATCATGAAAAGCAGTTACTAGGAACTGAAGAATAGGAATCTTATTGTGTGAACTGGCATATGTATACTGCAAAGTACTGGATAGTGTAAAAAGCTATGGATGACAATGCCCAAGAAAGAGTAGTGAGTTTAAGGGAATAGAGCAAGCATAAAGAAAAGAAGAAATGGGAACTCAGTCAAGGCTAAGGACCTGGGCACAGAACACATTCACTCCGTGCAACTCACATCAGTGCTCAAAACAACGTATATGACCCCGGTGATCCGGAGTGGCAGGCAGGCACGCACGTATCCAGGGCAGCTGCAGGCTGAAGGCTGCTATTTCTGCACCTCTCTCACAGGCGGTGGGAAACAGGTAATAGAGCCCATTTGCCTTAAGCAAACAACCACCCTGTTCGGGACTGGATACAGACACGACACCTACACCAGCCCCTGTAAGATGACACCCACTTTCCACGCCCAGTGGGGAAAGTGTGAACTTGGGCGACTTGTCCAGCCCCACAGAGGATCTCTCTGGGAGAGACAGGGATGGAATCAAGGCGACATTTAACCACCTGAACTATTTTAAGACCAGAGCTGCTGTTTCTAAAATCCCCTGTCTCGTTCCCTGCGTCCTTTTCAACTTCTGCAAAAAGAAGGCACAAATCTCATGGACAGGACACTTCACTGCTGCACAGGCAAGTTATCCCCAGTTACCACGCTGTGCACTGAATGAGGCAGGGCTGGGGTAGAAAATAACAGCATGTGGTGACGGAGCTAAGAAATACAGAGTATTGTATCTAGCATAAGTGAGGCATCTTAAGACTGCACAGACAAAAGGATTACATAGAGAAAAAATTCAGACATCAAAATTTCAGCCCAAACATCTAAACTCTGATAAAAGTATACAGGAACTGAAACATGGTCATACAACGGAAGTGTTGGGCAATCTTCACTACAGGCTTTGCCTTTAATACAAAGCTCCTTAGGTCAGCAAAACAGCACGCCGTCTTCTGGGTTCAGAGCCAAGCAGATACTGGAATTCTCATTGTCTTTTCTACACGGCACTAAGGCTTTCAGCTCAAAGGCTTAGAGGCTTTAATCATGACCTGTAGACAACATGGACGAAGTTTCAAAATACAACGTTTGCAGAAGCCGTGCTCCAGGAGGAAAGGTTAGTTGGAAGGATGTCGCATGTTCCAAAAGAGATCCCAAAGGATGCTTACAGACATCCAAATGCCACAAATTCTCCATCAGGCAGGCTAAAGCAGAGGCTACCTGCTTAAGTGCTACAGAATAAGGAAAACAAGAGAGACCTGATAACACCTGAAGAACTCCAAAAGCTGTAGTGTCGCATCCACTCTAGACTGGACATGAAAGGTAGCAGATCAGCCTGGAAAGCAGAGTCCTGAAAATGTATCTAGCACCTCTCCCACAAGGCAAGAACAAATATGCTTTCCTCCTGGAATTGTAAAAATGCACGGCATGGATAACGCAAATCTTTTCATAAGTAGATTCAGTGTTCTGAGATCAGCAGTATGGTCCTAAAACCTGCCTGATCCACTAGGGATAACGAAGTACAAAGAGAATGTGGTACTGAGGTGGATCTCAGCAAAACATTTCTTCCCCTGGTGCTTTTATCCTCCACCTGCAGCGCACTCCCAGTTTCAAAGATTCAAAGATTGTAAGGCTGGAAGGGACCTCAAAAGATCATCATTGGATCCAGCCCCCTGCACCAGGCAGGAAAGAGAAGTTGATGGACCATCACCTGAACACAATACAATAGGGTCATAATCCTGAAACCGGAGTCCTTGGGAGTACTAGAATACCAACAATAAAACCACCAATCCAGCCTTTCCCAAATCCATAGTGCACTGAGCCACTGCCCATTGTTACAGCAGTCTCTTCTTCACAGAACATAAGCATCTCTATCGACTCTAAATAGCCTGGTGAATTGTGGTTTCTCGACATGCATTATCTTGCAACACATTCAGACTTCTGCAGGAATCCTAGTAGATCCAAGCAGAGAAAGGCAGATATGCCCAGAGAGTGAGCCGAACGGAGCAAAAAGATAATGCTTATAAAATGATAGTATCTTGTGTTAGAGTCGGGCTGTGATTTTCAAGGGAGTTGGGTTGCTAATTCTCATTAAATGTCAGACATGGGTGCTTAACACCATTGGGCCTAATTAGAAAAAAAAACAAGCCCCTACGGATTCAGAAAGCTAAAAGATAGAGAAGCAACATACTGACTGAATTTAGAAACTGCCTTTTTGTTTCTGTGAGGCTCTCCTCTTATCATGAAAGCAGATTAGTTCAGATCAGGTTCAAATACCTACCCTCACCCCACACTAAAGGGCTGGCCTTAATCCTCAATTAAATCCATGTATTGGATCATTTCTCTTTTCAGTGGACTTTCAGGAAACTACAAACGTCTCCCAGTAGCCTAGAGAAGGTTTTTTGGGGTTTTGTATTTTTTGTTTTTTTGCAGCTTGATAAAGCAGCATGTGAAGTTGCCTTGTACTCCTGCTCCTCAGAGGGCTTTCTGTTAAATATTTTATTTTCCTTTATTCCAGCACAAAGCAAGACAAAGAAAAGGGATCACACATTAAAAGCTGCAAAGCAAAGCAACTTTTATCAGTATGTTGAAAGGCCCATTCTTTTAATATATTCACTGATTACCTAAGAACTTTTTTTCCTGAATCTGAAAGATCTGTTGAGTAAAAATGGTAATGGTCCTTCCAACTGACACTGCACAGGCTAGACAGTACAAATATAGAGAAGGTGAACTTGCTGAATTGCTAGTCTGAGGAGTTGCAGGGGTGTGGGCCTTGATAACTACGCTGGAAACTACGTGGAGTTTTGGCAATAAGCTTCTGGGCATTATATCCAAATCAAATGAAATCTCAAGACGTTTGGCACACAGGGCAGCACTGGAACAGGAGGGAAATTATGAACTTGAGCCAATATGCAGTTAGCAGCCGCAGTTCTTTAGCAGCGATATTGTTGACGCTATGGCAACTACTGCAGCCTTCAGATTTGCTTGCCTTTGATAAAATAGAGCTTTAGACCTGGGAAGGACTCTAAAATCATGCTGGTTTTGCTGATCAGGTACCTCTTCCTGCAGACAGCTGAAGACCAGCAGCCTGTACTGATTCTGTTACCATTCACTTCAGCCAGAGGTGTCAGGCAGACAGCGCGTGGGGTTCCTGTGGAAGCTGGGGATTCAGGGGAGGGGTCCAGCACCAAATTCCCAGAGGCAAAGCCCCAGTGGGCATGTGTCAGCAGCAGAGAGGGGACAAGCAACAGTGGCATTAACCCCCAGCTCTGCTACCAGGTCCGGATCCAGCCCGGGAGGCTCCTTGCAGTGTGGAGCTGGCCTGGGGGCACAAGTGAGCTTGAGGTCCCTGGTTTAAACCAAGATGTCCACAAAAGTACCCTCAGGTAACTGCAGCCAGTCAGTAAGCAGAAGCCATTCTAACTGTCTGATGATCTGGTTACCTTACTGGTACCCTATTCTTAACTTATGATAATCATTTTTTTTACCTCAACCCCCCTCTTCATGTTACAACCTACCTACTACCCTCTTTGGCACAGGGACCACCTTTCTGCATGTGCTTGGAGACTGTAGCTCATCCAACTTCTCATCTGTGATTGGTACCTGTAGGCCTTATTTCAACAAGTACAATGAGCTGATACGTTTGTAGGCCAACCTTAATTACTCTAAAATGTATTAACCGACTGCTCAAACAGAGTGCAAAATCTGCTCTCTCAAGAGATATGCACTGTTAGATAAACGAAAGAGAACTCCACAAAAGATTAAAATCCTTCTTATTCCAGGATTTGATAAATTTAATAGACAAATGACAGCTTAGGCCCTAAGCCTCCTAAGAAGCAGGTGTAACAACCAGGAAGGAGGACAAAGTGTCCAGGTGAGAAATCCAGTAGTCCAGGCACCCCCAGCTGAGGCAAAGGGCAGGGTGCCTGGATTTCTGTCAATCAAGGTTCTGTCCCTGGAACTCACTTAAGAGCTTATCTTGCACAACAGCCTCTGGGTATCGGGCGTCCAATGGCACTCTTCCTTCCAGCTGCTAGAAGAAAGATGCTTGCAAGCAATACCTTTAACACTGATAACTTTCCAAATGTGTTTGGGAATACCTTAGGGTGTTACATTAACAAGAAACGTGTCGCACCTTCAGACAGATTATGGCTGTGACACGAATGAAGTGTTCCCTCCCCTCAGAGGTTCACAGTTAGCAAGCAGAGACCATATTAGTGTCGCAAGATGTTCATTCAAGTACTCCCAAATCAATTACAGAAAAAAACGAATACTGAATGAATCAAACAGCATATACGTGAAACTTTTCATTTCTAGGGAGGTAACTTGTATCCAAATTGATTGTCATCGAACAGCCGAAGGAAACCTAAAAATTGTTATCAGCTTACAGAAAACTAAGACAGTCCTTGAAATGAACTGAAGTCAGTCCAATTTCAACAGAAATTACTGCTACAATTTACATTGTTTCAGCAGGCTCAGCAAGTGGGAAAAGCTGAATGAGCAGAGACTAAACAGTAACGCTCACCTGTAAAGCCGATCCCCCCACAACAGGGTTGAGGAAGTGTCAATCAATGGAAATTGCCTGTTCCTAGTTTATAAAAGTGTTGTGCTGATAATAGTGTTAATCTCTTGTCTTTCACAACCAGAGTAGAATAAGAACACTCTGAGTACTTTTCTTCCATATATTCCTCGTTTGTAACTTTAGTGAAGACAATGCTACGATACAATTTTAGCACATAGCCAGCTCCTGTTTTAGAGCATCACCTCTTTTTGTCATTCTAAAAGCTTGGAGAACTTTTACACATGGAAGAGTTTAATGGAATAGCTTGTTTTGTCCAAATATGTAACTAAAGTCAAAGTCTGTTCAGTTCATTTTTACTGACAGACGTAGGTAGCTAATTGGAAACAAAAACCAGACACAGACAACCCGTACCTGTGGCCGCATTCTTGGATTCCATCTGACGTAATAGTTTACCCATAACTCCAAGTGGTTCAGACTGGCAACTGGATACAGGACATGGTGTTCATAGTTTACATAGAAAGGATTTGTAAAGTCATCTAGTTGACTATTAACATAGGACCATAACGATACAGTCTTTGTGCTTATCTCCTGAGTAAATACAAAGAGTGGTATTTTAGGATATGCATTTCAAAATCTTTACATTTTTGCACAACAGTTGAAAATATGGTAACACTATTCTTTTGCTCCGTTAATTATTCAATACATTACATCTATGTTAGGATGCACATTGAATTTGTCGTGGTTTTACAACTCTGAAATGTACTTTTGATCTGTTTTCATGGGAAGAGAAAAAATTAAGAAAAATTCACACCATTTAGTGGAGTAATTTTTAACAAGGAAACACAGTAGCTACCTATTTACTACAATAAAGCAAGTATTCAGAGCATTTCAATATCTGTGGTATCCAAAGTTGCTGGAATATCTTTTCCCTTAAGGTCAGTCAGGAACAGGACGGAAGTTCAAGTGTATTTGATTGGTTATTTAGTTGCGACTGGAAGGTTGTTGCACTACCTATAACACTTGAGGAAGAGAGGGTAAAAAACATCCTCCCCACCTCTAAACTGGAGCAGTATCTATAGCCAGTCACATCCAGATTTAACCACTGGCCAACCCAAAAATATTTTTAAAAATTGTATTTTTGCTAATTTTTAGATAGTTTGCAATAACCAAAACAATATTTTTCTACTGCTGGCTTACATCTGTCTAAATGGTGTGCTTTTAATTGTCCACCTTTAGCTTTGTTTGTATTTTCAAACCTATGTAATAAAATAAATGAATAAAGCAATTCCATTTAAGTTGCAAAATTAGAATTCTTATCAGCTTCCCAGTGCCATTTTACACTCCTTCAGTGCTATAAAGCAGCTGTTTCCACTACAGTTGTGTCTTAAATTGCATTTTTTTTAGAAAGGGAGCTGCATCAGATTTTTCATTTGTGAAAGCAAGCTGTCTGATAACCATTTATTTGCCAAGAATATATTATTTAGCTCCATCTTGTGGTATACACATGCAAATTTTTCTACTACACAAATCAGTCAAACCAGAAAAAACAAAGCTATATATACTAATGGACTGTTATTTTAAGTTTTACTAAGAATACTTTCCACCTTCTATGGCACATTTTATTTAGTCTCAAATTGCTCCACAGAAGTACTGATAGTGCTAACGTCACTATTATATAAAGAAGTCTCTCCCATCTTTCAATTCTACATTTTATCATCAATGCTCAATTTCTGCTCTAAGTTATGCCCCAGTAGGTACTGCACTGGAAAAAACATATCAGGTAGGTAGGGAGCTCTGCTAAAGATGATCAAAACTGTGTTGGTAAAGGGCTATGCTTGGGTATTTTTTTGGGGTGGGTGCTCTGAATGGGACACTATCTAGAACATAAGTTAACAGCCTTTGAAATGGTGGAAGTTATGGTACCTAAAGAAAGAAAGGGGAAAACATTTTCTTTCAACAAATGATGATGTGGCATGTGGCTAAGCAGCCCTCAGTGTGATCGGGGGATAGTTAGTACATATAAGTATATGGCTATACTTATTTTTTTCCCCAGGCCACCTCTTGCGACTCAGATGACAAGATAATGCTTCACACAAATGCTCAAAATGTTTCTTGTATCTCACGGTCAAAGCATGTCTGCATAAAAACAACATGTCAAATCTGACGCAGTGTACCACTTACTTCTTTCACGCGCTCCTGTTCACAGTTGAATAAAAAAGTCCCAAAGAGGCAGCTATAAAGATGATCCAAAATGGTGACTAAAAAAAGTTCATTGAATTCAAAAGCTGCAGGAAACTGGAAAAAAAAAATAGATTGTTAAAATGCTAAGACGTTAGTGTGCAAAATAAGGAAAAACTTCCTTGTGTAATAACTAAAAATGAGAGGTATTTTTAAAAGTTGTGTTTTATGTCTACAGAGTATCACAACAAATGCTTAAGCAGTTTCAATATTATTGTACTTCACACTTTTCATCTGAAGAGTTACATACTTTAGCCAGAGAACCAAGCATTATATATGGTGTGCAAAGAAAACAGACGCAGGTTAGTAAATAAACCCACAAGTTAACTGTCCCTGACACATGGCAATGGATCCAAGCCCTGCCCGGGAGCATCCTGTTCTAACCCACAAACAACATTTCCTCAAGAGGTATTATTTCTTTACTAAAGGACATGCTCTTAAAAAAAAAAAAAAAAAAAAAGTTTAAGAGTTAAGCATTAAGGGTTTTATTTTCTAAGCTAATATGTAATGAATAAGATAGCGAAGATTACTGCACACATCATGTGTTTAATATATACTTAAACACTTCTTTCTTTCCACCAAACCAATTCACATTTTTCCCCATTTCTCCCCTTGAGTTATCATCAACTATGTACAATAATCCTTTAATCCTCCTTCTATTTCATTTAGAAAGTAAATCCCTTACATCTGAAATGAAAGAAGCATTGTCACTGTTCACCATTACGTACTTTATTCATGGAGGTTTTAAAGTACCAGAGACAAAATATTGGTAAATTTGTAGAAAATGTGACATTTATAGAAGCGAAATCCAAGACATAGCTGCAATTTTAGGAGCTCTGAAAATTGAAAGAAGTGAAACTGCAAGTCCTGTTACCCATTCAAGTGAGGAAGGGTTCTCCATCAATAACCAAGTCATATTGTACTTGACTGTCTACCAATGCCACTTCCAGAAGGAAAAATAACTCTGCATCTAATTAGTATGGTGATAGACTCAAATACAAAGGCATTCTTTTACCAAAAATTGCAGTACTTCCATAATGAGAAGTTTTTGCAAAGGTCCTGTATAGCCTGGTAATGAAGAATTAATCTTCTGTAGGTAAATATGAATATTTGACATGGAGAAATCAATGTTTCATGTTCTTTGTCCTTTATGTGCCTGAGGACGACGTTTCACACTTCTGCTCAGAGTGCCTCAAGAGAGGGTTTAAATGAAACACTTAACTGTTGCTTAGAGGACTAACCCAGCAATCCTGCCTGGAGATGAACTAAGCAACCCAGAAAGTCTTTTTCAGTCTTATCTACAATTTATGAAGGGCAAATGTTACTTGTCTTGAAATTAAGGAGTTGGATGACATGGAATTTTTGTTTATAAAAAAAATAAAAGGGCTTTTTCTGTTTAAGAAATGGTCTTGTAAGCAATTCAATTTCAACCCTTTTCCCATGTATCCATGTTCACAATTCAAAAGCATGACAAAAAACCTGCATGTAGAAAAAATCCACTAGATCCTTGAGCTCCCTCAGTCTCCACCTTTGCACAGTAGCAGTCTGACACAGATCATCAAAACTGATGTGCAAAGGTTCAAAGTGCGATTTGGAAATTATTTGTAAGAGAGCCTCTCCTGAAAGGATTCCCTTTCATTTAATGTGCGCTCTTCTCATCTGGGTTTGACGCTGTGCCGGGCCACTGGAGCACATTCAAAATCCCGTACGCCAGCATGTCAAAGCCTTATCTTTAGATATAACAGTTATTTTTCTGGAAAAATGGTGCATCTAGACCAGTGGTTCTCAACCTTTTTGGACCTGAGGTATCCTTCACTGAGCTTAAGGCACCACTCTATAACTTTTGTGACCTGAGTGGCACCCAATTAAAAACATTAATTTAACTATTACAGTATTTCCCTTCCTACACAAGGGTGGGGGATCATAGGATCATAGACAATGAGGGTTGGGAGGGACCTCAGGAGGTCACATCTAGTCCAACCCCTTGCTCAAAGCAGGACCGTCCCCAACTAGATGATCCCTGCCAAGGCTTGGTCTCCCTGGGTCTTAAAACCTGGAGAGTCCTAAGCCTGGTTTATTCTCCTCACACCTCTCGGCAGCCTTCAAAGGATCTAGCAGCACCCCAGGGTACCCGAGCACCCTGGTTGAGAATCACTGATCTAGATTATAAGGATACTATTACTGGAGCTGAAAAAATAATCACTGACCTAAAATGTTTTTCCTCTCAGGTTCCAAGCATATTAGCATCTATTTGAGGATTTAGATGGAAAAAGCTCCCATAAGAAACTTTCATTTTCTCCCAATCCAATAATGAGTAAATATATATGCCATTAAAAGAGGGTGGGCAACTATTCTGGCTGGAGGAACGCTTCATAGGTTTTGGCGAGCTGCTGAGGGCTGCAAGGGTGGCCCCACGCCTTGACAAGCACCCCAACCCTTGGTCACCATCTTGGGACTGGAAGTCCCACCACCTAACCCCTGACCTTTGCCATTAGCAGTCCCTTCCCTTGCCCCTGGAAGTACTCCTTTTGGGAAGTGGGTTTTGCCATCTTGGAGCTGGAAAACCCCAAGTTATATTCTAAAAATCAAGCATCCACAATAATATATTTTATTTAAAAAATATATATATATTTTGTCCTGATTTGTGCGTGTTTGCATTGTATATACAGACAAGATTGCATGATAGCAGTGAGCACACAGCAGGGGTGAGGGACGATAGAATCATAGAAAACAGGCACAGAGCAGGGGTCTGTATGCATGGCCCCGACTCGGTGCACCCTGCACCTGCTCGGGACTCACCTGTCCAGGTTCAGCAGTAGCAGCCACGGTGGCACGAGACAGAAACTGTTGCTCGGTGCAGAGGAAAAGCAGCCCCTCCCTCATCACCGCCGCCAGGCAGTTTTCACTGCATCGCACTAGGTTGCCTGTGTCTCCATCACCACCGCCTCTGGGCTGCCCTGAAGGGCAGCAGTGATAGTGCAGAGCAGCCACAGGCAGCCCAAAGGTGGCAGTGACAGAGACACAAGGCAGCCTGGCGCAGCATAGGCTCCGGGTGCCTGCAGCAAGACCTTCCCAACAGTAGCGATGGGGAGAGGCCACTTTTCCCCCATGCTGAGCAACAGTTTCTGCCCAGTGTCACCACTGCTGCCAAGCCTGGACACACCCTGGTACTGCGGGGCTGGGGCCAGCGGTGGCAGCATCTGGAAGGAGCTACCCCAGCCCTGCTGCATGCCCAAGGGGTGGCAGGATGCACCAGGCTGAGCAGCACCTGGGCCAGGCAGTATCAAGGGACCTGCCACAGACTGGACAAAGCCCCTCCATGGGTCAGATCCAGCCTGCATATGGTTCTCACACTCATGGAAGTGGACTGAGTCAATGTGCATGAGCACTAGCACCCCAGGAGAGCACACAGTTTTAACATGTACATCTCTGCCTGGGGACAAGTCCTGGCTGTTACCAGACAGTGTGACATTAACTTCATGCCCAATTGAACGTATTTTGCTTATATCTAAGATGATGAATATTAGATGTGGCAAGATATTGCTTGAAGTGTAATAATTCCAAGAAGATTTAAGGGGTTTTTCATAACAGTGTTGATCTCCCTTGAACTATAACCAGCTGCACATAGGCTTTCCTGATTTTAAGTTAGTCAGTCGCTATTATCACAATTTATTAATAAAGAAACCACTTAAAGCATCTATTCTTTTCTAAGGCCCAGCATCACATCATTTCTCTCAAGTTTTCCCTTACTGTCCAGCTACCATCAAGGCTTGGAAAATTTGGAAAAATACAAAGTTGCTGAAGATTGAGGTTTATAATTTTGAAAATGTTCTCCAGGATTTTAAATCTTTATGGCCAACTGGAAGTTTTTTCATCTCACTGAACCTACGTTCTCAGAAAGTGAAACATTTTGACAAAAAGAAAATCTTTCCTACAGCCTTTATCACGTGATGTAGTTCTGGACTATTTCACATTTGTCTAATATGCATCTTACGTCAGCTCATTTTATAAGCTACTTACCTACATATAGCTAAAATAGGACCATAGTTTTCCCCAAATCCATAACATGGCTGCCCTGACTTAAACATGCAGAAGTGAGTTAAAACAAGGAAAAATAAGTGGATACGATCATCTTAAGACAACGCGTTCATTTCCTTCCCATTAGAGCCTTAAAGTTTCTCAATACCATTCCTATTTATGAATTTCAGAACACTATTTGGATCCAGATTTTGCACAGATGTGGCATCAGCAAAATGTTTCATCCTCCTTTTACTAGCAGGGAACTAAACAGTTTATAAGGCAAGAAGTAGGAGGAGGAAAGGGAGATCACAAAAACAGAAGGAAGCTGTTCTGAATTACATTGCTCTCTAATGGATTTTTGATCCTTCCAGATGTTTATAACTGTTTCTCTTCTGGGCAGCTAGTTACTATTCTCAGTAACAGAAACTTCTCTCAGAGACAGAGATTTTTTAAAATGTTTCTGGCTGTACTGAACAGCATGTCAACACTGAAATACACACGCCTACAAAGACTGGAAAAGTCTGCAGTGGACTTTATACCAGGCCCCGCAGAAGATTTTCATAACATTGAAAGCAGTTGGTTTAAATAAAAAGTTTTTGAAATTATGACGCCCACGAACGTATAAAGAAACCTTTTAAAAATGACCAGGACTGGAATATGTCCTATGTTCATGACTGGCACATCATGAAATTAAAAAAAAAAAAAAAGTGATATCTATGCATACTAAAATTGAATGCTTCCTTTGCTATACTTTGCCCAGTACACCAAGGTCACTTGAGTTCCTGTTGAAAAAAGAAGAAAAAAGCCCTGAAGAGCATAGGCTTAAAAGAGCAAAGAAATCAAATCACACTGATTTTAAATGTAAAAATGGTTTAAGATAATGTCATACTTCAACATGCAGAAATGCAAGTCAGTCTACGCCAAACAAGAGATGCCTACTTATGGGCTTCATGCTAGTACTTCATTTCTCATCATGCTGAGTAAAAGAGATGCAGTAATTATGCATTTAATAATGGTATTAAATTTATCAATCAAAATACATTATTACACTAATTTAAAGGAAATCTGACCTTCCACATGGATTACATTTCCAGTATAAAAGCTGAAGATATCAATACAAATACACTGCCAGGTTTTCTTACCTGCCTTGTCATTTGCCAAACACAATCAATGAACTGAAGGAAAATGGGAGATCTGTCAGCACCTGCATGATCATTATCTCCATGGCCTACTCGCTGAAAATCAGAATGAGCAACGTTTCATTTCAATTGCATCCATCCAAAGCAGCCCCCACATCATTAATACCAAAGAGACAACTGAGGCTGGCTCTCAGAAGAATGTGACAAATTCCATCTTTCTACTTCCCCCCAAATCCTGACTTGATTCACGTTTGTGATCCTACATCTAGGAGACAGGAATGCCGACCACATGAACAACATTTAAAACATTCACCTTACGAAAAAGATGAACATTGACTAAACCCCAAAATTCCCTTGTCAATTCAGAGTTTCCACATAAGGACTTCTGCCTTGCTTATATGAACAGAATAAATAGTTGGGAATCTATGTTCCCCACCTCACTTCCACAGAAGTACAGATTCAGTGAATCTGGCATTTTATCATACTGGATAAACTATCAGAAACAGTTACTAAGACTGTACTAAAACTGAGATTATTCTCCATACCCACATGTTATTGCACCTAAGCCCCCAGAGGTCATGTATGCTGCACAAAGTTTTATAATTTACCTCTTTGCTAGTTCAAATTAAACACACACGTGCACGTACACTATGCTTGCTGAGAGACAAAGGCTGCACCAATATATATATATTTTTTTACCTACATGATAGCCATATCTTTTCCCTAACATTTCCCCCTTTTATTATTTCTTCACAAAGTTCTTTCATCATGCTTCACAATCTTCTACTCTTCCAGAAATATCTAGACATTTGCCTTTTACTACTGACTTCAAATTTTTCCTTCTTGTAAATTATGCTGTGCACAAGTTAATATATTAACATTCCACATAAATACAGCTTTTTTTCTAATAGAAGTGAACTGGTCTGATTTCTCTGAGACCGCTCAGACTGCTGGCACATAGCAAGGCACAGGAAACATTAATCTAAATGCTGCAAAATATCAACAAGTCAAGTAGCAAAAAAATAAACACATCTGCAGGAGATTATTTTGTATTAATTCTTTTAACTTACCACGGCAAACCGATGTCCAAAACTTATCCACTCTTTTTCTATAAGAGTTTCAAATCCTTTGATAGTTCGATAATAGCTGTCCAACATAAGCATGGCTAATGAAGTCAGCTGGGCAGTTCGGTCCCAACCATCACCGCAGTGTACCACCACTGATGTTTTACCAGATTCAATTTTATCAGCAATTCTGACTGCTCCAGCAAGAAGCATCTTTTAAAAACAAAAAAACCCCAAAAAAGGAGCATGTTATACCCTTTAGCCCAAAGCCCTCTTCCACAGTCCCAGAATACCATATTGTAAACTAAGAACACAACACACATTTCTGTGCGACCAAAACAATGTTTTTGCTTAAAATTAGTCTAAATTCTGGACTATAATGAAAACATGAATAAGGCAGTGCAGACCATTCAGGAAACTACCAAATAGAGTTCAATCCTTTCAAGAAATTAGTTCTCTTGTGAACTATTACTCTTGCTCAGAATTTAGTTTTGAGCCAGAGCAGAAGGAGAATACTTCCAGCTAATCAAAGCCAAAACAGTAGCTCTGGGCAACCCAAACATACATGTGGGTTGAGCTGTCTGGCTTCTGAGTTGCCCGTCCTGACTTGCTGGTAGACCGAGCACGTTACGTTCATCTTGGGAACGCGTCTATATTTTTACTATTAAATGTCTGGGTTCAGAAGTCAGGGGGCAAAAAATGGTGGCCACTAATGTAATTCTTATTCCCATGAAATCTCACTGTTGATTTCAACAGTCTCATTCCCTTTGGAAGTTGTTTGGGCTGCTCTTTGCTTGTTTAAACTTCAGGTCATCTCTTCCCTACGCAGATGTCTCTCTGTAACGTGACTCCATGTGGCACTGAGCTATACGTGAGAGAAACAGCTGGAAGCAGGACCACTGACATCAGAATAAGGGATCTCATGAGGCATTTGGCATTTTTCCTTTCCAAGGCAAGCTAAAATATTTCTTGGAAACAGGAAAGCCTGTATCTGTTGCAGCAGCTGTGCTTTCACAAGCCCAGCCTTGAAAGCCATTCAGGCTTTAAAGACAAAGATTCATTGCATTTGCTCTTTTACAGTTAAACTGAAGCATGCCAGGAGAGAACTGTTACCAAGTAAGATTAGAGCTTCTATTAGGAAATTACAGGACCTGCCATTTGAACTGGTTAGCTGTAAAACTCACGTGCATAAGTCACAGACAATGTATACTGCACTGAAAACGTGTAAACATTGCAAACGACTCTTTGTTGGGTTTATGATAGCAACAGGAAAGCGATTCCTTTATAAGTAAAGCAGCATTCTCTATACTGTCCTAGAAAAAAAAAAAAATCACTAATAATGATACAGATGGCAACCTAGCACTAGTGTAAAAACTACAGGAGGCAAGAGTAGATGCATGCAGTGAACAGAAAATGGGAAAAAAAAAGACAGCTAACACATTAGTTCAGCAACTCAGTGGAAGGAGGTGAAACGTTTTGTTCGACTTCAGACAAACTTTTCATCTGTGAATATTTCTAAGAAACTAAAACAAATATTTTTATTTTATAGAATAACTTGTGTGTTAATAATCCTTCCAGCTAATTCTAAGTGTACCTAAGACTAGAGTTTCTAAACAACACTAGATGAAGTCACAGTTTGAGCTGTCAATACCAATCACCTGAAACTGTCAGAATCACCCCACAAGGTGTATCCAGACTTCACATGTCTCAGGCTACTCCAACCTTAACTATGAAACCAAGAGATTTCACAGTCCAAGCCTGACATAGTATCACAAAGAAGCCTCACTGAATTAAAAGCAGGAGTGCAATGCAAATACTAGGGCTATAAATGAATACCTTTTTTTTTAAATGGACAGTCATATTTAAGAACTGATAAACTTAGATGGAAAAAAGTTACTGGTTCTAAATATTTAAATCTGGTTTAAAATATTCCAGTTCTAACTGACAAAAAATTAAGCTCCCCCCAGATTAATAGATTTTTCAGATAAATCTAAGTATTTGCTCCCTCTGCTGGCTCTTCTGCAGCAATTAACAAGCAGCAGTACCAGAGCTAGGCCAAAATGGGTAATACAGGTAAACACATCAAAAATACTTTGTGTGAGTGACAGCTGAGCTGAAACTGCACAAAAATCAATTTCACTTTAAAATCTGTTTCTTCAGTATTTGACACCAAAGTGGGAGGAAACTTGTTAAAGCAAACTTTGCAGAGGTTGGCTAAAACAGACAGTCGAGTTTAACACGATATTCCGTTATTTTAATAGCATGCTAAATAATAAAGTAAAATCGCAGTCCAGTTGTTTTCCAATTGGAGTTTGGGCCATGGAAATAAATGAATGTCTAGAGTAAAAACACTGATGCTGCATTACTGGGGTAGAAGAATAAGGATGGCTGCAATAGTTCAAAATGACGTCTCTCTGGCAGATGACCAAGTAGAGTTTGAAATTCTCATGGCAGTTTTCCAAAAGAAAGGGATAACCCTGGTATCCCAGCTAAGGAGCAAAAATAAACACTGGCTAGCAACAACCTTGATCCTAACACTTCACTGAGATTTAACTCAGTATTTCCCAATGCCTACAAGACGAAATACATAACATGCAACATCTATCTGTACTCACAATAAAACTAAGCATTAATAAACTTTTTAGCCAATGATAAAAGACTCAATAATAAATTATATTTTTATTCTGTACTCAGAAATACAAATATGTTGTTTTAAAAAGCCAAGAACATATTGACATCACATCTCATGCGTCTTACCCTTATGTATTCCAACCAGTGTGTTGAATCTATATTGGACAACCACCGATCCTCATCAATAGTAGGATAAACTATTTCTTTCAGCTTACGCAGTGATTCTCTCATCACATTAATGTTATGAATTTCCAAAAAAACCAGTTCAACATTAGGATAGGAACTTTCTTTTTCATAGCTTCCACCTTTTGCCTGTCATTTAAAAATAGAAAAGTGCATGAGTCTAGTATAACGTTATCAACTTTTCCGTGTTTTAAGGTTTTCTTAGCACAAATGGGAACTAGTAAAAAAATAAAGTAAAACAACTTCTATGTTACACCTCCTAAAAACACACCTGTTTTCCCTTGTTAACAATTTGGTGTTCTTCCATTTGGCCTATTGCAACCAATTCCTTTCTGGCCTGCCTTAATCCCCTCTTGCATCCTTGCTATCTATCTAGTCTAAACCTGCGCAAAACACAAAACCTTTTTCCAAATATTTATCAAACAAATGAGAGCATGTTTCTGTTCTATTTCAGTGTGCTGGCACTACAGCAGGCCCAATAAATAAGAGACCCACTCCAGCATTTTCAGGTGTGATGGACTCCACTGAAATATTTCCCTGCTCTGCCTGCACAGCACAAATACTGGCCCATCTCTTCAACTCCCTGAGCTTTCTTTTACTGACACCACTGACTAAAATTTCTATTTTAGATGGCTTTGGATTCAACTGGTCCATGCCAAAAGGCATTCCAGTACTTCTGCAAGATGTAGTTATTTAGACAAGTGGATGGTCTTGCAGTACAAGTACAAGATGGGGAGCTGGAAAATTGATAAGTGCAAATCATGACTCGTATAACTACAAACAATTCACTCTTTCTGCCTCTGTGTTGAGGCATCTTTGATCAGGGGATAGAAATAGCTCTTAGGAGTATCGTAAGGATTAGTTATAATTGACCGAATGCTTTGATATTAAAGTGCTTCCCTAAGCATTGCTTTATTGCTAGAAATGATCATCCACTGAAAGTATAAATTATTTTTTAATATGGGAGCAATGTAATCTCTGTCAGGTAAAACAGAGTCCAGTCTAAGACCAGGGCTTCTACACACTAGGATGGGAATAGTACAATTTTAGTATTACATTACATCACCTACTTTGTTTGTATCAGCAACACCGTGGTGCCTGGCATCAAAGATGATAAGCTTGTGCGACTGGGCATTGGCATCCATTATGGTTTGTAAGTATTTTTCATCTTCTTTGCAATGTTTGTCATTTGGTCCTATCAGAGGCTGGCTGCAGCGTGTTATGGTTGCCTGGCTCTCGGGATGAATCCACGATAACACCTGGATTTAAAAGAGTTGGTATCAGGACACTGTACCACCTGAAAAACATGGGTTCTAAGAGCAGCTTTTCAGTCAGCCTAATCCCACGGTCCAACTCCCCAGTAAAATGATACATAAAAGCTTCGGTAACAATAATAATTCATACCATACACAGGGTCAAAAATATATAACATGCTACTGAAGTCATGACATAGCTGCTTCCAAAATTCAGTCAGCTCAAAATAAATTCTAAAGTTTAGAATCTAAACTATGATTTTATGCCTTGTACATTCAGTAACAGTTTTAATTTTTACCTTCTAACTAAAATAGTAAAGTGTTTTAAGTACAGTAATAAGGTTTTCTAAAGGTTGGAAAGGGAAACTACTTGAATGTGGAGATTTATGCACTCAAATACAGGTCTACCTTGTGACATCCTGCCCCCAGCTAAAGCTACTGCAACTCACTCCTTGCAGCACATCAAGTTAAATTTCCCAACCTTTCTCCCCGTCATGCGATTGCCATTTTCTCTGTAAATGTCTCCTTCCCATTTTAATACAGTCATCTGAAAGGGATAAAGTCTCCTCCATGAATAATAGCCTCTCAGATATCTACCACCCAACCTTAGGGAAATACAGAACACATTGCATCCTACCTCCAAATTTGTCCCTATTCTAGAAGAGGAGAGCATATTACTTCTGTTCCCTAAGGTATTACAGAGCAGTAGTACTCATTAACCACAAGGTGATTTAACTCACCCTGGAGAACCTCCCACACTAAAACAAAAAACAAAACAACCCCCCCAAACAAACAGAAAACCTTTTCCTTGCAGCACCAAAACTAGCACTTGTACTTTCACGCATCCCTTTATATTTTACATGACTTAAGAAAGAGCTGAATTATTGTTTTAGGAAAGAGCTGGATTACGGTCTTAAAAAGCCTTTAAAAAAAACGAACAACAAACCCTGAAGGTATCTCAGCTCACTTCTATAAGCCAGGTAACAAACGCAGGGTGAATGCATGTCTAACTGTAGAAGTTTTACTCACTGGAACTCTTCCTTTTGTTCTAAACACTGCCACTTTTGAGAGGTCGTCATCCTTCACACTGGTTGGCACAACAAGGATGGCAGGATAAGTATCACAGAGTTCAAAAGTGCTGTTAATTCTGGATATTTTCCAACTCTCGTTTGGCAACCCCTGCGCAGAAGCAAGATATGTTCAGGTTTGTTTTTTTTAAATGCTAGATCTTTGCATGTCTCTATTTGGCGACAAAAAAAGAATGCATCATTACATGCTTTAAAAGAAACGCTATGTGCACTGTTCTATATAGTTTAGTGCTTCAAAAGCACCAAGGTATTTCCTAATATATTATTTTTTTAAGAATGTGGGACAGTATGGCGAAATAAGGCCCACAGTTCATTTAAAAAGCAGTCATCATTAGATGGGTCATTACTAAAGTACATATTAGACTAGTGTGAAATAGAAAAAGTGATTTTCTTCCAAAAAGTTCAGAGATTGATATCAGACCCTCTTATACTTCTCTCATACGCATCTGTATAACTACTGCTTATTTAATAGTAAATGTGTGTACTAGTATTAGTTTTCTGAAACAGATATGAAGAGTTAAGTCTCCATGTACGTATTTAGATACGTAAATAAAAATAATTCAAGTAATTAACACTGCTAACACTACCTATTTCAATGTTTATGGGTGTTTGCCACTCCAACAAAATCAGCTTTTGCATGGTTAAACAGGAATTCAGAAGACTAAGTTTAAGTACCCAGGTGCCCATATGTCCACAAAATTTTCTAAGAAAAATTTTAAAATTAGGCTTAAAAGATTATAATAAAAATAAAGAGGTTAATATCGGGATAACTTACCTGCCTCTTATATTCTGCCATTGGATCATAAACTTTCCAGCCATTGACAGGAAATTTTTCTTTATAGCTGAATGCAAAAAATGGCTAGAAACAACAGCAACAAAAACAAAAATTACACTCTGTTTTAATAGGCTAAAGCATAACTGGCTTGGAAGATAGAAGCCAGAAGTCCAGATCTGGGTCATTTCCAACAAAGAATCTTGTACTATTTTCACAGCAGGCCCAGGGGTCCCAATCAGGATTAAATAATATCTAGTACTGTGGGAGGAGAATATCTAACAAAATAAAAGGCAGTCCCTCCCCAGAGAGGTGAAGTGACTTGCCCAAAGTCTAACAACTAGCCACTGACAAGGTCAGGAATCGAAACCAGGTCTCCCAATTCCCAGTCCAGATCTGTATGCACAAGACCAGACTGATATGGTACACCATATCAAACTGTAAAGCCACCTGTGCTCAAGAGTTGTTTGCTGGGCAGTGGATTCAGGAAGGCACCTGATCTTAATTTTGATATTCTGACATTCTGTGTGTTAGAGAAAAATGCTTACGATATTAGTCAACAAAGCTGCTCCTTCATCAGCCCTAGTAGGCAAATCTTAACACCCAGCTTAAACAAACCAGTCTGAACATTTTTTTTAATTAATTATACAAGATGTGGGAGCATCACCTCCCAGCCATTAGTGCCACAGATTGCCCAGGGAGCAGGAGCCAGCTCGCAGTTTTTTAAATGACTGCAGTAAGGAAATCAAGCCAAGGTAATCTGTCTGCTTCGTGATATATCAGATCAAGAGCTTCATAAATTTGTTCTGAAGTATTTGCTTTCCTTCCACCTACGCTTCCTAAGCCAACACTGACAGGCAGACATGGGCCTCCTCTACTTGTTTTAGTACTTACCAGCCCATTAGAGACAGGAAATGCACGCGTTACAAGGTTCTCAAAAATCTCCAGTCTGCTTTGTTCTTCCTGTTTGTAGGCAAGCCTCAAGTTTCTCATATCCTGTCAGAAAACACATCTTACTTTCTACACAGTTTGATGCATTAAAAATAGTAGATGTCATAAACGTGACTGAAACCAAGCACACTGGCTACTAGCATCAAGACAAGTCAGCTTCCAACCTAGATGCACACATTAACAAGGTTCTGTCCTAAAATGAAAATACTGGAAACCTCAGGAAGGTCCCACTATGCTGTACAAATAAGCACTGTTCCCATGAATTCAGCACTGTGGTGAAATGCAGAAGTGTTTAACAGTGCACAGCAGGAAGGGAAATACATCGTTCACTGAAACTGAAGGAGGAATTTAGGTATGAACAGTAGAATTAATCAAATAGAAATCTGGCAGGGTTTACATTAGTGGCCATTTAGCTCAGTTGACTGGAGCATGGTGCTAATAACACCAAGGTCACGGATTCAATCCCTGGTTGGACTAGATAATCGCTTGAGGTCCCTTCGTACTAATCTATGAATTCCTAATTTAATGAAGAGTGCCATGAAGCTGTTTGAAAACCTTGGCATTTAATTCTGTTAAGCCTCATTCAAAACTGGTACCTCAAGCAGACTACTGTTATGCTGTGGCACTAGCTCAGTGCTGAGAACAGGTTCTACTACTTCCTACAGCACCTAAATATTTCATGGTGGTTTGTGTTTTCTTCCACATGCAATGGAAGTTATAATGCAGGTGCCTGTCAAAAAAAATAAAAATAAAATAACCCTTAAGCAATAAAATGTATTTCCTAGGAACTAAGTCTCTATGTACCTTGCACACAATTTCTATCCCAAAGGAGTTGTCTCCATGGCTCTGTGCCCCAATCTTTTCAACTCTACTTATTACTCCAAGGGGAACATCAAGAACAAAAGGTGGATCCTGGAATTTGGATAAAAAAAATAAATATCAATTTCAAATAATAATAAATTAATTACAAAATCCAGTACATTGCACATCAAAATGTGTATTCTGCCACAGTAATTTATACTGCCATTTGGATTGACGGCTGTGGAACTTTACATTTAAAATTTAAACCAAGTCTGTCGCTGCTTGTCAGCATAGAACAGATTCTAGCTAGAAGAAATATGTATATAGATCTTAAAGTCTCACCTTCTCAATGCTTTTGATATACAGCCTGTAGTCCGTTACTGTCAGCGTACCACTGACTGCTCCCATAAATGGACAGATATACACGACATCTTTAGCTAGAAAAAAATGCACAAATCAAAAATATTTTGTTACGGTAGATATTTGTGCTATAATCATCTGTTTTATATAATAGCTTCCTGCAGCTTTAACTTGGCTAAAAGACTGATATAACACCTTACAAATGAAGTCATTTCAAAGTACAACTGACCTGCTACCCCTACAGCTTTGATTTAATACAAAAAGTCCTCTGCATTCCTACCCAAAAAGATGATAATCAAATGCCCAAGTCCTGCACAATACGTGCAGAATAAGCCTACTGAAGAGAATGAGGATATGGCCTCATGCATTGTTCCCAGATCATACAAAGCATTTTTGCTGTATGTTAATGAAATGACAGGCACATTTTCTAAAATGTCAGCATTTCTAAAGGGCCAAACTTAGTTTGTGGGGTCTTGCATATAAGAAAATCTAAGTGGCACAGAACACAGGTCATTTGACGAAATCTCCTATAATCTGCTATCAGTTCGGTCCATATCTCATCCACTTCTAATCAGAATTGAGGGTTTCTCAATTGTCAAAGATTCTTCCTTTCACAAAAAAAAACAAACAAAAAAACCCCACAGTCCCATTTATACCCTTTTCAGACTTTCACAGCTGTGAGCAGTATTCTCTGAGCCAACACACAATCCTTTGTAGCACCATACCTCAGTCATATGGAAAGGCTCATAAGCATCAGTTGACCTATCGCCGAATCTTGGGCAAGTTGCTTAAGTAAAATTTCACAACAGGATCACTTAAATGTGAACTGTATACATTACAGCACAAACTAATTTTAAAAAAAATCTCCATTCACTGAAGTACGCTGACCACTACATAATCTTGTTTCACATAACTATATGATGCCAGTAAAAAACAAACATCTAAACTTCAAACTACCTTATATACAAATTGACACTAATAGCACCACTCTGGGGCTGCTTAAATGGAATAGGTAGGTATACAGCTATTGTACGTGCGAAAAAGGGGAAGAGTTTTAAAAATTTGGCCTTGAATACAGTGAGCTACTGTGCCATCTTTTACGTCTAGAGATGGAATTTAAATCTCAGCTGAATTAGTGGCTTGTTTTGTGGTCGCTACAAAAATATTTACCTGTATAGTAACTCCACTACAATTTGCCACTACAGATCATTAGACAGAAAAAAACTTTGTACTGAAGTTCGGCAGGATTCATTGCATTTTCATTTCTTTACTGGCATAATTCTGAGTTGTTGAAACTAAGGAAAAACTAGATTTTGAGCACAAATGCTCTCCCCTAACTTATCTATGGGAATCAGCTGCTTATAAAAAGCAGCTCACACAACAACTTCCCCTTTAACTAATTTATTCCCAGACCAGCATTTAGCATCAAATAACTAAGAAAAATCAACAACTAATTTGATAATTCAGTCTAGAATTATAGAATAAAAAAGACAGTGCGCCAGGAAATAACTTCACTTTACATTTACGCATAAATAATGATTTAATGCTACTCAGTGCAGTGCTCAATGCTACACTTACCAATAACTTTGATTGATTCTCCAGGATAAAGTGGTGCCTCTTCCATCTGTGCCAGCTTGTTCCCATCTCTCAGTGCCTGGCAGAAATCCAAAGCCACAAGTAAATCTCACTTCCCATCTGCATAGCAGTGATACATTTTGATACAAAATGCCTCTGCTATGAAGTTACAGGACACTTATCTTTTTTTCCAGAACACAATCACATTAAACAGTAAACTATTAAAAAAACCCATACAGCTTGGGTAGCTATTTATTATGCAAGCATTTAACTATTAGTAACAAAGCATTAAAACAACTATTAGCTTTAACACAGCTAGCTACATATATAACATACCAAAATGCAAGCAGTAACACCAGCCCAAAATAAGAAAAAAATGGTTAGCCATTTATAGAAGAAAACTTGCATTTGTGGCATTTTTATCTATTACGGAATATGTTAAAATTGTTGTTTTTTTATACAAAAGAGTTTCTATTCTTAACAGCTTAATTACAACTGTGAATACTTTAATTTCAAAGAACTGTATATCAAAAATTTACTGTATTTATTTATCTATTTAACATAAAACATTTAAAGGCTATCATTCTATCAAAAAAATACAAAAAACAAACCAGAAGCAGTCAGAAACTACCATACCCTACTTGACAAGATATTATGGCACGTACACCAAAGTCAGAGGCACTTTATAGAGATTTTAGACCTGGAAGTTCAGATTGAGAACAGTGACACACTGAAAAACAGAAGACACTGAAAGACTGGTCATTTTAAATCAAGGGCTTCATCGTAAAGCTTTTACTTAAGTGAGTGGTTTCATTCCCCTCACTGATTCGACATTAAGCCCAACTTGGCCCTTATTTAGAGCTGAGGTCTGTCATCTACGGAAGATTTTAGTGCGGGGCTTGCAGGATTTTAACGATCATACAAGAAGCTGATATTACTCAGGATGCTTGCTGAGAATTTAAGATTTCCATTTTAAATGTTTTGAACCAATCTCATGTGCAAGTTAGAACATTTTAAATTAGAAAGCTACAAAGAAAGGGAATACAGACAGATTTAGGCACAGATAATCTCCCTTGTATTTCTGATTTACACAGTATGGAACAGGATTCAGGGTATCTTCTCTTTTTAAAAAAGAAAGATTTATCATTAAATATTTCTCTTAGTATAAGGTAATAGCTTTTTTTGTTTGATGATCTTCTTCAGTAACATAATTTTACACTTCCAGTTCTACCATAGATGAAGGTGAAGTGTAGATTAGCAGTCACTGAGATTATAGATGTGTCTGAAACATGCGCCCTTATTGGTCAGGGCTTAAGTGCAATGCTATAACTTCTATTCCATGACATCGTATGCAAGTGGCAAGAAGTACTGAGTAGGGCTTCCTTCCTGAAGCAGATACACCATGACTCCTCCTTTGCTGTAAAAAGTGGTAATTTTAAAAAGTTACATCAATATATTTTTTGCAAATTAATATTGTTCATTTGATGTAAACGGGCAATAATTCCATCAGGACATGCCAATCCTTTGTTGGATGTGCTGTTGTCATATTTTAAAAATTCCAGACATGCTGGTCTCTGTCTGAGTTGTAAGGGCTCCATCTCTAACTTAATGTGATGGTTGATAAGCTCAACATGAAGAAAACATTCAAGTTTTGTACATTTGAAGAATACGGAGTTTACTTTTGCCTCAGATGAATAATAATTGATGTAGTCTTCAAAACAAAATTGATATACAAGATATGTACCCAGTAGTGAACTAAAGGGAGGAACCAGCATGCATTTGGGAATAGTTACACATTTGTAGACACATCAGTACACAATGTGTTCTGTATAACACAGAGTCCCATACATGTATTTGGAAAGAAAAAGAAAGTTTTAATATACCGTGAAAACAATTCCTCCCTCCTACACATGGCCACTTTTTACTAAAAGTGCAGAAAGTCTGCAAAAAATCCCTTAATGAATCAGGGAGGAATTATGCACCAGAAATGGTCTGCATATGCAGTTAGGAATTTTTCGTCAAATGTTTACAAGAAATTCAACGTATCATTTCATACACAATCTGGTAGTGTTTTAGCAGCAATGCATTATATTTTGCTTTTAATTTATCTGAAGTTCTACATTTTAAAATGGGGCTTTTCCTCTGAATTTTACCATTTTTTTTGGTGCGTAAGATGCATTCTATATACATCAAAAAGGACAGAAGTTGAGAGAAAAAAGTTTTAATTAAAATTACATTTGATTGAATTTTAGTCAACTTTTATCATAATGATTTCAATTAAATTTTCATTATGTAGTTCTGGTGTATAAGATGCCCTTAATTTTACACCACCTTTTCCAGGAAAAATGCATCTTACACCATGGAAAATGAAATTTCCTAGGGTATGCAAGAGGGTGTTTAATTTAGAGGTGCACCAATATATTGGTTACACATCAGACTGGCATTGATAAAAAGGAAAATTAACATCATCATCCTTTTTTGGCAGGTGTAGCTGATGTCACCAATAAATACTGTGTGCACGCCTGCAGCCAGGCAAGCAGCATCCTGCTGGTAAGTCTGTTGGCGGGGGAAGGGACAGATCGAGTCTCCCACAGTGAGAGAAAGAGTGGGGAAGGTGCAGAGGCAGGCACTGCCCAGCCACGGGAGTAAATGGGACCCCAGGGTCAAGAGTGGGCAGAATCATGGGCAGGCGATGCAGGGGAGGGGAAGAAAGGGTGGCTCCCCGCTGCTGCATGCAACCCTGGGGGAGGCATGGGGGGCATGTGCCCCCTGGATTTGTGCACGGGGCGAGGGCAGGCTACCTGCTGCAGGCTTAAGGCCAGGGGCTGGGCTCAGAGAGAGCTCATCTGCGCAGGGCAGGAGACAGCAATGGGAGTGGTGGTTATGGGGGGGCTATGGGGAATTTTAGGGTGACTACAGCTCCCCCAAGATCCCCCTAGTGCTTCCCCTGCTCGGGGTACTCTGCTCTGCTGCCTTTCCCTCAGGAGCCCTGCACAGGCTGCGCATTCACTGCCCACCCCACAGCATAGCGCTCCCGAGGGAAAGGCAACAGAGCTGAGTGCCCTAAGCAGGGGCACCGCTAGGGAGTTTTGGGGGACTGTAGCCACCCTAAAATTCACCATAGCCCCTCCCAGTGCCGCCACTGCTCACCCCACACAACTGAGCCTGCCCTGAGTCCAGCCCCCCTACCGGGAAGTGGCTGACACACCTCTGGCCCCAACCCTGCCCTCGCCCTGCGCACAAATCTGGCAGGGAGCGGGGGGAATGGAGGGGCACATACTCCCCTTCCTCCCCCAGGGTTACATACAGTGGCTGAAAGTTGCGCCCCCTGAATGAGCCGCCCACAGCTCCATCCCACTCCCCGGGTCCCACTCACCGTCCTGGCTGGGCAGCACCTGCCTCAGCCCCAATCCCTTGCCCACTTCTTCCCTCACCGTGGAGGCCTGTACCTGCACCCTCACACTCCTTCCCCTCCACAGACTTATCGGCCAAATGCTGCTCTCCAAGCTGCCGAGTTGCATTCCTGTAAATTGGTTATCAGGTCAGTATTGGCCGATATGGCTGGTTAATAATGAGCTATTGGTATCGGCCAAGAAAATCTTTATCAGTGCACCTCTACTTTAATTTTTTAGAAACACTTAGAATCAGGAATTATTTTCAGCAGTAGATCTTTTCTTAACAACATATATAAAAGTATATAAACCACTCATCTAGCCTTTTTGTGCAATGCTGTCATTGCTTTAAATTAATCTTCTATCTATATGCCTTCTTAAAAAATATTCTATTACAGAGGTCAGCAGTGTTTTTGGGCAGTGCGCCAAAAGCACCCACAACCTTGGCTTGTAAGAAGTTGGCATGCCAGAGGCAGATAGCAGGGGGGCTGTGAGGGGCACAATCCTTGTTGTAGCAACCCCGGCCCCTTCCCTACCATCTGCCCCGAAGCGTGTGCACCAAGCAAAATCCTTTGCTTGCCACACTCTGGCACCCGTGCTGGGGGTTGCCTACCCCTGTTCTATTAGAAAACTCTTCTTTAAAACGTTATCCATTAATCTTGTTAAAGTGCCAGCAAAATTTAATTAACATGAAGTTCTATTCTTTCACGCATCAGTGCAAACACTGATATTTATCTATTTTGATGTTTTGAAAATACCAGCTATCCCTATAAATATTGAGGTGCCTGAACATCTGAGCCTCCATAGAGACCCTGTTTTCATCTCCTTTTTTGGGATAAAAAGGAGATGAAGGAGATGATAATATCTCCTCTTGGGTTACAAATTTTGGTTTTGTTTGTTTTACTAATAGGGGCTAAGATTAAAGGGGAGATAGTCTTAACAGACAATGACCACTCTGAAATTCTTCTACAGTTTCCTGACAAAGGAAGATTCTATACACTGTTCACATATGATTAAGCAGCAACTTCTACACAGGTAATGAACAAAAGAGGAGTAAGACTTGCCACCTGATCAGCTTCTGCTTCAGAATGATAGCCATTGTGTCCATCCTGAATCTCCTGCATTGCATGAGCCAGCAGCAGAGCAAGAAAGGTAATAGGAAAAAAACATGCAGACAACAGGTGAAAGGACAGAATCATATTTTTTTAAAGAGACAGTAGATACTTTAACTTCAACCTTTCTTTTCAATACTTTCTACTCTGCACGAGCTACTTCACCCACAAAACATTCAAGATTATTAGGCCCAGCAACTTAAGCCATTTGGTAACATACAAAGTGGAATACTCATCCACATTTTCATAAAATACTTAATGCAGGCACCCAAGAACACAAAGTATGTACTGTCTTTTAAAAACAAGCAATTTGACAGCAAGATAATGAAGAATATGCCCAATAATAGAAGAAACTGAGTAGAGCTTGATATGGTAGCAGTAAGGGAAAATTCACGCAGTCTTTTCAGGACAAATTATATTTTCAACATCCATTAGAAGCGTTCAGATAATTTAAAGAATTGCTGTACTGTACAGACCATATTGTAAGTATTTTATAGTTTGATACAATTTTCCTAGGTACTCCAATGTTGCTGTCAAAACGATCTATTAGAAAATGTATCTAAATTACTCTTAATAGCATAATATTCAAATGGTTCACATCTCTGTTCATTCCCATTTTAGTATTTTAAATCGGGAAACTCTTACTACATAAATTAAATCCTTTTAATAATTATAAGTCCTCTCTGCATTCTAGGTAGGAACAGAAAAAAACAGCAACAAAAGTTATTGGCTACATCCAGCCAGGTGTTCTTCACTTTTCTTCCAATGCTAACTGGAGTGAAATTACCATCTTCTTTCAGAGATGATTTATTTTTCCAGAACAGCACCAATTCAGGAACACAAAAATTTCTCATTTAACAGCCAGTACTCCTTGTAGAATCTAATGCTAAAACTGAGTTTTCGCATTGTTTCTATGAAACTCTAAAACAAAAAAAAACTAGAGGAATGGCTTACATATTTAGAGAATTTAGGTGCATGTGAAATCTACTGAACCTAAAACCTTGCACATGATGAAGGGCTCCCAACAGGTAGATCTTAGGGGAAAATATGGCAATTATTTACATTTAGGTCACAGAAACTGAGTGAAGACTACTTCTAGAAGTAAAGTCCAAAAAGGTAGATGCTAAAACCTCATGAAAAAAAAAAAAACAGGAAGAAGGGCAGCAGAATTCTAAGCCAGGAATTAAAGGAAGTAAATAGAGGCACTGCAGACCACTCATGGACTAGAAGCCTTTGCAAATAAAACTGACCACGGAAAAATGGATTTTACTATCGTAACCCATTCCAACTACTTCAAGGATTGAAAAATACTGACCTTTGTACACTACAGCTGTTATACACATCCAAGTGGGTTTTGGACATGGAAGCAACTGATTAGTATCTTACTATGCTATAAAGCTTAAATTATCCCCTATTATAAGCTAAAAGCCTTGTCTGAATGAACCTGTTAGGAATATTTTGAGAGCAATGTCATTCTATTAGCCATATCTTTTCTCACTCTATTAGCATTCCAAAGCACGAGGGAAGAGAAAACCAGGCACACACTTTTGTTATCCTTAAAGAACACTGGATAAAACCCAGCCTCCAAAATCATCAAAAAGATGCAGGTCATTGCATTAGTGTCTAACTTCAATCCCAACTTTCACTTCTGCTCTAGGGCTGAAGCAATTACGGTAAAACATGTACAAACGCAAGCATGAATTGAAATCTTATTTAAATAGGACAGACAAAGACTTACTGCTTTTTCATAAGCTAACACTGAAATTCTTTAGCATAGATAACACATTAAAGCTGCTAATACAGTACTCTGTAGTCCACAGCATGTAAGCATCAGTTGTGAGCATCCATTTTGTCAAAATTAACGTAATAAAACTGAAGTTAGTACCGCACATTGGTAACATAACTTAAATATACTGCCCTCTCACACATTGGCTTTTATGGCTCATGAAAACACTGTAATGTATATAAAGCATTTCTATGGCAAACAAGCTGTTGCACTGCATAGCAAAATGGTCCAACTTATCCATAAAAAAACATTAATGAAGAAAAGAAGAACACTTGACACACTGAGCTCTCAACATAGCACAGAAGACACAGACAGGAGGCCATTTGCTGGTAGTCAAAGGTATTCTTACCCGTAGATCAGGCCTCCTGTGTACCTGTTAGTTAAAATACAGAATGTTACTAACAAAATCCAGGCTTTTTATTTTACGGTCTGAATGGGAGTCAAGCTCTTTTGAGAATCAGGTTCTGGGCAGCCTTTTATTCAATGACAACATGCTACACTGAAAAATGGAACAGGTTAGCAATCTTTCTGGACAGCATATAGTAAGCCTACAATAACAGATATGAAACCTAATGGACCTGTAGCTTTGAGTCAAATGTCTGAATGTGGGTACATCTAACCTTTCTGCCAACTTGCATTCAAAGTTTTCCAGCCACTACTATCACCAGCACTTTCCACCCAAACACCCCCTTATCCAAAGAGGCCCTGAGGGGTTTATCCAGTCAAGGGGGATGTATGCAAGTTACCATGAACTCAGAGTTTTGGAACAACTCTAACTCTATGCAAGGCAAATAACTGCAAAGCTAGGAAGGAAAGCTTGTTCTTCACCCTCCAAACTTGACCTTTCCCTTTGCAGCAAAATGTGCTCCTTCACGACCTTTACATTTTTGCAGCATTCTGGTGCATCAGGGAGGCCTCTGGGATCCTCAGAGTTTTTAACTACCTACATATACATTCAGGGACACAGTGAATGGCACAAGTTAACGGCAGTAAAACTACTACTATGAACTGCAGAAACTGACAGAAAACCCAGCTGTGGGCCAAAAAATAAGAAATTTTTAAAAACCCTTCAAATGTTATCTACACTTTTCAGCCTGACCCATTCAGGAGTAGGTCGAGACCATCTTTTCTAACTGAACTTTATGAATCGCTCAAGGATAGTGTTTTCAGCAGTACAGACTGAAGGTGCCTACGGCACAGATAAACACTAACATCTGCCTCAGAGTGGGAAGGTCACAATCCATAGTCACCTATAAAAATAAAACAGTGTTTGGACATCCCTTTACCTGTAAATTCAGGCACAGCAATGAGACTAAGGATAGAATAACCTCTTAAAGGAGAATGAAATTTGAACCGGCCAGTTAACTCTTCAAAAATAATTCCTAGATGCAGTCAAAGGGGTTACCTTACTTTTAAAGGAACATTCTACCTGCCACATCACTACTTCACAACCAATACAATGCATTATGTAAATAAGCTATTGTATAAACTTAATTTATTCTTTCCATTTGTTATAAGGTCAGTGCATCCAATTTCAAAATGAAAAATACTAATATAGATGCATACAAAAATGTGAAGAAGATGCTAGATATTGCTGGCTAGGTTACCTGGATCACAGAAAAAAGCAAGTGTGTTGATTTTACCCTCAGCCAAAGCCATAAAAAAAAAAAAAAAATTGGTTTAGGAACATTGTACGAATCAAGATTTGGATGTTTTGGCATCTTTGTGGGAAAGGCTGTATGCTTGCTCACTTTGCTTTTGATTGTAGTCAGTGCTACTAGATTTTGTTACTTACACATACTTCAAGCTGACTATATATTTTTAAAAAACCCTAGAAGTATTGCATGTGCTGTTCCAGTTGATTTTCTGGAAATATATAAAATCCAGTATGTTAAGTGACAGTCAAGAGGCAATAAAGTACAGCCAGACTTCTAGTAAGAAGAGGAAGGGACCCTTTCTCAAAGCAGCACCAGGAGACACAATACAACACCATTCTCACCTTTTTAAAAAGCTACGTATTTCTAGTCAGAAAGGGTAAAAGATATCTTACAATTAGAAACTTTCCACTATTACTTGCAAACACAGTGTTTTAAATCACAGCAATGAAAATATGTTAAATACAATTCATAAACAAATTAGTCTTCCAAACACAGAAAGGTTTGACCTTCTTTTTCCTTTGATTTCTGAAAGACTAGGGAATGAACTAGAGTTAAATGCTACTAATTAGGCCACAAAAGATTTCTGTTTCCGAAAGTCAAGTCTAAGATCTGTCTGGGAAGAGAGAAAAGGAGAGAACACTAGACTATTTAGAATAAAAAGCTCCTTCTATGCATTATAACTGAAACAGTAAATTGAACACCAAGTTCCCAGACTTGGATCATGATAAAATGAAGTCCTTGATCTACAGGGCAAACACAACATAGACAGCTGTAATGCAAGGTTTCCCACAATGTTTTATCAAAGACATCAGCCTTGACCTGAAGTGAGAATTTGCAATTCAGCTGCCATACTCTAGAAGAGCTAGGCTTTTTCTGAGTACAAGCTGCTGACTGTGCCAATATAAGTAACAAATTCTGTGACATGAATTTTTAAATAAACTAGGATCAAATACATTTAGTGGATTCATCTTCAAGCTCAAGCTGAATCTGACCCACAGTGACAGAAGTTAAAGGAATATACTATTTCCAGACAGCATCTAACTCCTTTTAAACACAAAGAGCCTGGGAAAGTTAATTTAACTCCACTGTAAAGCAAACAAGATCCAATCTTTATCTGGCCATTTTGCATGCAGAACACAATTTTGTCTTTTAAATCCAAGGAATGAAGAGGAGGGTATATGCAAAAGACCAAAGTTAAATAGAAATTCTCAAATATTAATAAGGGCTTGAAGCAGAGATTACATTTTTATTACTAACAGGAGAGAGAGAGAGAACACAAAATGATCTGGTTGGTTGTATAGACTGGCTGCATATATACAAAAAGGAAGTGAAGAGAGCATGAAAAATGATGGGGAAACACCTCAGTGATTCCAAACAGGCTAACCACACTGCACAATCACTGCCTCAACAACTTTCTTGCTGTTGGGAGACACACAGGAAAGAAGTCTGTTTCAATTGTAAGAAACTCTACCATAGGTAACACCCCCTCCCCCCCGCAAAACCCCCCCCCAAAACCCAAAATTAAACAGACATCAAAACGATGGAAGAACAGTGTAAGTGATAAACATTCTTTGGAGGTGGTGCAGGCATTATGATTTTTTTTTGTGAAATTCAAATAATGGAATTCTGTACCTAGAATGCAAGGTACAAGCTGGGAAAGGTGTTTTAGCCCTATAACTATAAATTGATCTAATTTTCAGAAAATATTTGGGTAATAATCATTTCTGGGTAATAATCCTTTTTTAAACAACTTTGCTGTAAGACATTACATTGGGACTCCCTTCTCTTTTTTCCACTTACTTCTTCTACTGTAGAATTGAGGGCCATTAATTTAAGTAGGATAAAACAGTGGTTCTCAAACTTTTTTTTCCGTAGACCACTTGAAAATCCTGAGGGTCTTGGCAGACCACTTAATTTTTTTTTTGTTCTACAAATCAAAGCACACAACTTGTATTTTAATATCAGTAGTCTTACCTTAAAAGTACAGATATTCTCGAATGTTCTGCAACATTGCTGCAGACCACCTGAATGGAGCTCGCAGACCAGTGGTGGTTTGCAGACCACAGTTTGAGAACCTCTGGGATAAAATACAAAAGGAACCTGTGCATGTCTACTCACTAGGGAGTAAGATTTGAGTCTCAAATAGTCAAGGATCGGAGCAGCAAATGGTTTCTTGAATTTCAACACTGAAATTTAAATTCCTCAAATGGTAAACACCACTTACCCTGTAATCTCTGGATACGCTGTCTGATGGCACCGACCCTGAAATCTGACTAGAAATGGTAGCAGCTATAAGCTGTTTACACCATTCAACATGTGACCCTGTAGGGCTAAGAGAGAAGAATAAACATTTCAGTTTGCTAAACAACAACAAGAACAGCAACTACTACTACTTCACACTGAAGCACTGAGACAATTTCACTACATCCCATGTTAACACAACTTGCAAACACCATGAACGAGCAGCACTGGCATTACAGAAAAACACAAATTATAATTCTAATATAGAGCCGTTAATAAATCAACAAATATGGTTACAGCCCTGCAGACTTGCAACATTTTCAGTCTCTTTATCCAATACAATTTTAATAATATTCATATATTTGTCTTTAAGGCCTTCAAAAAGAATGTATTTTGAGCACAAGATACATAAGTGCTTTCAAGAACTCCACATATCTGTCAAGACTGCTACTCAAAGCCATGCTCCTCTGGCAGTAGCATATCAAGGAAATAAAAGTATTCTCAGTAATTGTCTCAAAAACTTCCCCAATGGCATCTTTTATTATTGCTATACCCATGTTTAGAACAGATGAAAGAGCTGTGATTCTGCTGTAAGAAAGAGGCAGAAACATTTCTCACTGCTGAACTGTACAGTTAAATGGGTACCCAAGGACCCCCAAGACACTGCCTCAGCCTAGGGAGAGCAGACTTTACTGATCTGAACTGATGCCTTTGGGAGGGGCCATCTAGATTAGGGAAGACTGCAGAACAGCAAATACTGAGCATGGGAAGGAATGACCTGAACCAGACATCAACCCTAGGTCTGTCTCAGGATTTTCCAGAGTACCAAGCCAGGGGTAACTTGGAGCTCTATCCTATCCCAAACCCAGCGGTATGCATAATCATAGTATATGCTTAGAGAAACTGTAATTATCAAGTGTAATTGTGTTTCTGTAGGTTTTATACTTAGTAGGAAGTCAGATACTGAAAAGAAAAATCAATTTAAAAACATCATATAGCAAAAAGACATATGCCAACATTGGGTGGATCCCACATTAAACTTAATGATTCATAAACCACCCAGTGCAGAGCACAAACAAGTTAAACTGGGATTTGAGAGGGTGTCACAGATGACCAGTTATCACTTCATGAGAGGCTGTCCTCAAGCTCAACTGCCCTGTGACAAGACCAGAAGACAAATTAAGGGCCCTAAGAATCGCTGCCTGAAGAAGGCAGTTCGAGACCTTCACGAACATTTCCATCCCAGCTTTCACTTGTGCCCTCTCTGCACAAACTCTGCACAACACCACGTCTTATTTGACAGGACTTACTCTAATCATAACTCGGTACAGACTGAAAGTTGATCACATTTTTGCTGCAAAATCTCTGCCTGCATTTTGTGGTCCTGAGAAAGCGGAAGGATGCTAACTTGTCGCCCAGCGCACCGTCGTACTTCTCTCTTTCCCACCACTTCTCCCCTTCCACACCGATGGGACGCACACCAGAAACCCCAAAGGGAGTGTGAAAGACAGAGAAGGAAGCAAAAGCAATTTGCCCATCCTCCCACATTTCCAAGCATTTTTAAAGCTGTGCCATTCCCCAATTTCCATTCACTATGGGCTTCTCTTTTTAAACCTGGTCTTCATCATAAAGTTTTTGTTGCTTTAACTGCCCTGACGTGAAGAACTGTCTCAGGGCAGTTAAAGCAGCAAGGCAAACAGTGGCATGCAGTCACGCCAACAGAGCTTATTCCAGTGATCCCCAAACTCCAGCAGATTGTGCACGGCCAATTTAAAACAACGTGCCACCACTAGCAAATTTTTGCAGCTCAACCTTACTTGACAAAAATTAGCTGGTGGTCTTTAAAGTCATTGCAATACATCCATTAACACGAACCACTGGCAGGTTGCCTGCGCACCACTGGTGGGGCCTGTACTACAGGCTGGGGACCGCTGGCTTATGTGCGCCGAGGGCACGCTGGTATAAAACAATACCGCTGGTATCGATCAGTGCGAAACGTGTTCCTGACCAGGTCGCGCGCGCTGGTGTGAAGTGTTGCACGCAAACGAGGAAGCGCAGCTCAATGGCGGCCATAACGATGCGAAACACAGAAGACGACAAGGCATCAAGAGGAGCTGAGCTGGCAGCCGGCCGTATCTTCACCATCTCGCCCCTCCACAAGTGCTGGGTGAAACCCGGTGGTTTTGGCGACGCAACATCGCGCTCTGGGCGCGACCCCGAGCTCCACACAGCCTCACAAGGAGCTCGTCTCCTTGCTTCCACCCCAACGTGGGGAACCGGCCCGTTTCCCCCTCCCAAAATCTGCCCGCGGCTCAGGACCATGCCCAGGTGCCAGTGCCACACACCACTCGACTCGGTGACAAACGCCGCGTGCCGAGCAGTACCCGTTTATTGGGGGGGAGGGGCAGCTTTTTTTTTTTTCCTGAAACCAAATCCCCTCACGTCCGGGGAGGCGGAAAGTTTCCGAGGAGCGGGGAGGGCCGCCCGGGAGGGAGAGCGGGTGCACGGGGAGGGGGAGGGCGGAGCCGCCCACGCTCACCTGTCCAGCGCCTCGGTGCTGGGCTGCCGGGAGCCCACCCTGGCCGCCCGGCGACTCCCGCCGGCCTCG